AGCACTGTAAAATAAGACAATCACATATACACTGAGTGGCCAGATTATTATGACCACCCCATCAGTACTTTGTTGGGCCACGGGATGACTCCACGAGATGATTTCGTTGGGCCGCCTCGTGACTCCACGAGATGTTGAAAGGTGATGCAAGGAATCGGACACTGCACTGTTGCCCTTCTGTTGTCTTGTACCAGTCTTGCCACTCTCCGTTCTGCCCTAACATTGACTAGTCGCTGACGGCCACAATTCGCACGTTCAGACCCAGATTTTCGGCTGACAGTCCAGTCTTTAAACACTTTAACAACAGCTGCTCTGGAACATTTAACAAATTCTGCTGTTTTGCTGATACTTGCTCCATGGCTCCGAGCGCCAACAATCATCCCATGTTCAAAGGCTGTTAAATCGCGTTTTTTTCCCATATCTTCAGAAAAAAATCACTTCTCCTGTCGTGGTATACAACCTGCTTCCCTATTTATAATGGTCTGGCCCTCTAGCAACTTCAGCTCGAAATTATAGCTAATTATAGCTAATTTGCCTACAAACGTCAGGTGGTCATAATAATCTGGCCACTCAGTGTAAAGTAGTTTTACATTCTCAGAGAAAAGGGAGATACAGGCAAACGCAGGGAGTTTTTTTGTTTGTTTTGTTTTATTTTTAGTTTTGAATAGAGTAGGGGAAGTATAGAACTCCTGTCAAGGTTCTATTGTTGTTTGTGTGTCGACTATATAGAATATATGATAAATGTCACCAGCACACCTATGTCTTGTGTCAATAATCCATCTTCTTTATTGATGCAGGCTGGCTATATAGAATCACCCTCTGTGATTGGTCCGGTGACCACTATCAGCGAGACAGCAAATTCACAATTTTATAGTTGTCACTAAGACAAGAGGTGAAAGTGAATCTTCCAGTGGGAACATCTGTTTTGGTGAGAAGTGTCTAAGAGGGAAATTCACCTTGCTTTGTGGAGATCTTCTCTGAATTTCTTCTTGCTTCTCAGCAAAGTGAAAGGAAATAATTCCAATGGAACACAGACAGTTAAATGAAATACATAAATAAGCAAATAAATAAATGGATCAACTACTGCTGTTGCTGACCTATTCATTCATAAAATTACTCCTATGTTATAAGAGGAAGGGTAGGGATCAATCACGTAAATAAACACTATCATGTGACCGCTGTGATTGGTTATGATAGCAATCACATGGAATCAAGCCGATTGGATCACGCCAACACACTGTCTCTGTGTATGGAGTCATCCACACATCAGTTAGTAGGAGGGAAATGGCCGTCTGCTGGTGACATTTTTAAAATGGTAGTGGAGAAATAACATCCATCTTTTATAAGCAACATGTTTCCCATGTCAGAACGTATCAATTCCTTTATCACACTTGATCAGAATTTGGCTTTTTTTCCCTCATGTATACATAGCTTTTTTTAAAATCATTGTTGAGTTTGTATTCATTGTACTTTATGTTTGTCTTGTAGCCCTGATGTGATGTAATGTGATGGGATTGTTGCTTCCCCTGAAACGCATTGGCTGTTTTTGTTTGATCGAATTATGAATAATTAAAGAAACTTTTAGACTCTAGACTCACTTCTGGGTACCCAACAAGGGAAAATAATAAACAGCAGTTTAGTTGATGAAGACAAAGTTTATCTATACATGCACTACTTTTTTCTAACACAACGCATACTATTGTGGTACTGAGCGTTGCATTGTGGTCGATCGCATTGTGAGAGGAAGGTGTGTTTAGGGTGCCTTTTAAATGAATGGCCACGCAAACCACCTCCTGCACCGTTAATGCATGGCGTGAGCGTTTCTCAGCACCGTGCAATAATCGCATGGAACCGGGTGATTAACACATGGCCCTGGTGGGAATGGGCCCTAAAACATCAAAGAGCAGCATCCATTGGAAGTGATTTATTCAACATTTGAAAAAGTTTAAAAACATTTTGACTTTAGTATCCCTTTAAGCTTGTGGGGAGATATAGGTAAGCATTGCCTTCATCAATTAGACTGCTGTTTGTTATTTTCCACAGTGTATTCCGATTCAAAACACACTTTACCCTAACCACAATATTTTGCAGTTCTACAGCAATATATAATTAATGTCACTTTCACATAATAAACAGAAAAGAAGTTGTAAAAATTTTTTTTAACAATTCATAATAAAGAAACTTTATAACGACAAAAAAAATATGAGTGGCAGTCTGCTGTCATCTGCGATAGAAAGTTACGTTTTTATTGTGCTTCTATCAGTGCGTTATTACGCACTGTTTAGGTGTTTTGAAGTCTTCTGGCAACCATTGCTGCAAAAATAATGACAAATTCTTTTTGACTAAATTCTTCAAGCCGGAAAGAGCCGCCGCTTTAAATGCGCTGCAGCCATCACTTGTAAAAAGTATTGTTTTGATGTCTCAGGAAGATTTACACAAACAAGCTGAAGAGTGTGGGATAATAAACCAGGAAAGGATTTTTTTATTTTTTTAAAGATCCAAAGTTAATGATGTATATAGTATATAGTATAAGTGCACAGAGCAGCAGGCAGCTAATAGATGGAAGAAATTTGTGAGAATGTACTGTTCCTGCGGTGATTTAATGATTGTCCCATATGTCAGTTATGGAGCACCGAGACACAATTACAGATTCCACAGCTGGCTAAACTGTCAAGATTAAGCAGCGCCTTTTAACCCAAGACCAGGACATTCCATTAAAAGATTCAAGGGATTTTTTTTTTTTCAGTGAAACTTTGGATATCGTTATTGGAGTTTTTGAAAGCATTGTATATAAGCAATTTATAGTTTCACTTACTTTGGAAAAGCATATAATAGCTAATCTAGGGCATGACATGTTGAGAAATGTTCTGCGGAGGCTCCCCCTTCTAATAGATCAATCCAATTAACTGTAGAGCTGAATAGGGATGCCTCTATAATGCATTATGGGAGCTTTTTTCCTGGTTCAGATTTGATAATTTATAACATATCGAGAAGAAATGGCGCACAGGAGCTACATTTTAATCAGTGGGGGAAGTAGGAGGGTTGTCAGTTAACTGAACCTGTTGCGTTAACTTGTGTTTTGCCCATACAGGACATCTTTAAAGAAGAACTCCGGGCAAAACTTTTATTAACCCCTGCAGTAGGGCTATACCCACACTGTAGGGTTAACTGCTCGTTTTTCATATAGGTGCTAAAATAAAAAAAGTTATATTCACACTATACAGCAAGCCATCTGGCTCTTAGACCAGTCCCTCCAGCTTCGCTCCCCCTCCGCTGCAGCAGTCAAAGGATCTTCGAGTGATCATGTTCTATACACTGTGTATTGGACGTAAGGATGCTGAGGGACATGCCATCACTGAAGCATAAGAGGAGATAGGCTGGAGGGAGCACTGTCACAGCCAACTGGGTCCGAAGTTCGGGTGAGTATAACTTTTTATTTTAAGCACCTAGACGAAAGGATCAGTTAACCCTTGCAGTGCGGGGGTAGCCCCACTGCCAAGGTTCAAGGAGAATTATGGGGTGAGTGAATTACGCTCATCCCCATAGTTAGAGCCGACATGTGACAGTGACACTTTCACATTTCGGCGCTATTAATTTGAAAATCGCTATTAAGTGAAAACATTCTGACACTCGCATACTTACCGATCATCCCCTGCAGAGAGCGGTGACTATCAGTCACCGTTCCCCGCAGGGATTCCGCTCCTCCCCCTGCGGTCCTCCAGCGCTGACTGGAGGGCCGGACGGGGAGGAGGCGGGCACAGCTGGCTCTGCCTCTAGATAGGCAGAGCCCGGCAGCAATCAGCCAGCGGGGTGGATCTTGACAGTATTGTAGGGATCTGTCCCAGCTACAGCGCTCTCAGCATATAGCGGATACTAAGTTTTGGGTCATGGGAGGACTTTAGTATATGTCCTCCGTGACCCTAAAGAGAACTATGGGAAAAAAAGGTTACCCCATAGTTCTCCCTTAAGAACATTTTTACCCAGGGCTGTTCTTTGAACTTGTGCTTTTCATATACAAGACAATGCAACAGGTTCAGATAACTGGCAACCACTCCCTTCCCCCATTGCTTATATGCATCTTCCATCCGTTTACCTGCCATGGCCAAACTAAATGACTGGTAAATGACTGGACTCTTTCCCCTTTCTCCCATAACTCAGCAAATCACCAGACCGAAAGCACTGTCATGTCATGGCATGGGAATAGTGCTTAGCTTTGTGTAAAGTTTGACCAGATTGGAGTTTACACAAGGCTTTTTACTTATAGTAGGCAAACAGGGCAGAGGGGAAACATACAATTAAAGGAACCTGTTGCATTACCCTGCATGACCAAAGTCTATGTCCACCTTACATTCCTGCATGCGCAGATGGATGTTAGTGAGCCATAATGTTAGTGAGCTCAATGTGTGAGCTATTAATAAAATGCAAGGATGTGAAATGGATCTATGGTTTCAATTAAATTACACCCTATGGGGCTTAATGTTGATTTGTATTTACACGTGTTCCTGTATATTGTTTATTTTTATATCTTTTTTCAGATAAGAGTTTTTTTAAACATCGGAACTGGAAAACATACACCTTCAACAGTCTGTTTTATTGAAAAGAGATGTTAATTTATTAACGGGTTAATGTTTTTGAATTGAATTTGCGTCCGCTTTGCTTAATTAATTATACTGTATCTATGCAATTGTTATGGATGTTAATCCCTGACGAAGGGCTATGTAGAACCCTAACCCTGAGGGCTATGTATACGGTTCAAAACTGTTGCCAAAGTGATGCTGTAATGTTATAAATTTATTTTACAATAAAGACGTAAGTGCCGCAACCATCTGTTGTATTCTTCCATATATTGAGACTAATTCCTGTTGACAGCACTATGTTGGAAAATGTAGGTGTACTGTCTATCTTTTCTGTGTTAGTATGTATATGTACACAGTATATATATGGTATATATTATATACATGGAATATTAATGAAATGTAAATGTGTTCATGTGTTTTCAGGCAAACAAGAGAACAAGAGACACCTCCTGACTTCTTCTACTTTTCAGACTACGAGCGCCATAATGCTGAGATTGCTGCCTTCCACTTGGACAGGTAAGGGACTACTAACGGCAATGTTGTTTATTATGTATAAGTATTATAGGCCTGCCAACCTATTGCATGTCACAGGCAGAGGAGAAAAAAAAATCAAAAAGAGAAGAAAAGCCTAAACAGAACGCTATACCCACAGCTACCCCCTGTCGATCCAGAGGCAAAAAAAACCCCTATAAAGCATAGTTGAATTTCCTTCCTAATCCCATAAGCCAATTGGATATTCCCTGGATCAACAATCTCTGATGCTTAATATACCTATAAGAACTCAATATCCAGTAATATTCTGTGCATTTCAGAATACATCCAGATGTTTTTTTAAACTATTAACTGAGCTAGCTAGAACTAGCTCCTGAGGGAGTCTATTCCACATTTTCACAGCTCTAACTGTGAAGAAGCCTTTCCATATACAAAGGTTAAACCTCTTTTCCTCCTGACACAAGGAGTGCCCCCTTTGCAGTGACCTTAACGTGAATAATTTGGCGCCAAGCTCACTATATGGACCATTTATGTATTTATACATAGTGATCATGTCCCCCCTTAATCGCCTCTTCTCCAGTTCCACAACATCCTTTTTGTGAACTGGTGCCCAAAACTGAACTGCATATTCCAGATGAGGTCTTACTAATGCTTTGTACAGGGGCAGGATTATGTCTCTATCTCTGGAGTCTAGACCCCGTATAATACAAGAAAGTATTTTGCTTGCTTTAGAAACTGTGGCTTGACATTGCATGCTATTATTGAGTCTATGATCTACCAGAACACCCCGATCTTTCTCCATCATTGACTCCCCCAAACATACTCCCCCTAGAGTGTATGATGCACCCATGTTTTTATTTCCCAAGTGCATAACTTTACATTTATCAACATTAAACCTAATTTGCCAAATAGATGCCCAATCACGCAGTGCATTCAGATCTGAGTGTAAGTTGGAGACATCCGGTAAGGACTGTATTCCACTATATAACTTGGTGTCATCTGCAAACACAGAAATAGTACTTTTAATCCCCCATTAATTTCATTAATTGAAACCTAACATTGTGTATTGATCTGGTAACTTTTGTTTTAAAAGGAATCTATTATGAGTTTTTGTTTCTGCATATGATCAGTTCAAGGGCCAGTGTCAATAGGCCGTGTTTGATTCAGAGCTGCTTCTGTTCCCATACAAGCCAATGCAAAAGCAGCTTTGAACAGGATAAAATGCAGGTCAACTCCAAGTCAACTGCACCTTTAATGAAGTCTGAATGATCTCCGAGGCAACTCAAACTGATGTCAAAAGACATCGACACTGGCCCTAATGCACATTACTCTGTCACCATGCTTTAGCAATGTTTCTCTTATTGGGTGTATCTCTTTAAAGTGTGTGTATATATATATATATATAGTAGGGTTGCACCGAAATGACATTTTTTAGACTGCAACTGTTAGAGGCTTTGAGGAAATATTAGGGGTCTAAAGAGACCCCTGATATTTCTCTTTTAAAATAGAAAAAGAGCCGCCCCGGTTATGAATGAACAGGAAGCCTCTATACTGAGTGTTCCTGTCCATTCATAAACTTTGGAAATAGTATGAGTTACTATGTCCACAATCATGAATGAACAGGAAGTGATGTAGAAGTGATGTAGAGTGATGTAGAAGTGATGTAGAGCTCTTCCTGATCATTCATAACTGTGCATACTATGTCCTCAGTTATTTACAATCATTCAGCGATATGTTCTGATCGCTGAGTGCATGTAACCCGCTCTCCATCTTGACTCCTCTGCCTGTCACATGAAGCCGAGCAGGAGGAGAGAATGGCATCATGTGACATTTGATAATATTTTAGTGGCCAAAATTTCGGGTCATCCTTAATACATGCTTACAGAAGGAGAGACACATGAATGAACCCAGGTGTGTGAACCCGGGTGTGTGCTGCTGTTCTTTTAATGTCAAATCAGCTGGCAAGAGGTTGTTGACCAAGCTGTACTTTTTATTTCCACTGGAGATTGGAGACCTGGTTACAATGTGTGCCAGGGGTTCCAGGATTTGAACACTTGATATAGGGCTTAAGCGTCTGGATCTTCCTTGTAAGTATAAAGTAAGGATAAAATTGAAATGCTTTAAGCATGGATAAAATTATGATCAGATGCATGTAACACATGGTATTTGGGTCTATGGTTTGGGTACCAATTAGGACACATGATACTTTCATTCATTTAGCCAAAACAACCATCCAGATTCCACCTGTCACTTCTTCTGACTCATTGCTTTGAAAAACACAGATATTTCCCATTCTTTCTTTTTTCAGTAAAACATCCTCTGAATTCTTATAACCAGAACATTTTCTCCACCTACTCTCCTCTACATGAAACAAAATGAGGTTCTCATTTTAATATGTGACCTTGTACTATGTGATACTCGTAGTATAGATGTTAACACAAATATTTGCTATCTATAAATTTGCCCTTTAACTGGTCTCTTCAAATGCTTTAAGTTTGTGTGTTTTCTGAAACATAGAGAATCGTAAAACTATAACAAGGTGGACAACAAGTCATAAACTGCTTAGCCATGTCAATGATCTACCGAGAATGCAGCTTAGAATGGCCATATTTGCTGCAGCATCAGGCCAAACACAAGCAGATGGAACACACAATCAGCTTCATACTTAAAGGGGGCCAGATGATAATCTCATCCCTGTAAACTGGAATCAAACGTCAGCAGACACAGATACCGGCATAATTGTAATAGTTATTTCACTGACCCTGGCAATGCTAATTAGGGCACCATATGCAGATACATGAGGCTGGCTAATAATATTAGAAGTTGATGTGCTTGTAATGCTTAACATATGTATGTGCATTCCCTGGTTGTAAATAAGGTGGAATGCATATGATTTAAAGTATATATTCGCACAGTGTGCAGTGCATTTCTACAATATATGCACATCCCCCCTATTTTATCTGTTTAAAGGCTCCTTGAGTAAAGAAACATATCTAACAAACCTGGCAGAAATGGACTCAGCATCTAATTTCCTGTTGTAGGCTGACAACACATTGTCTTTGCTACATCCAAAGGAATAGGGTCAACTCTTGTTGAGCTATAAAATGCTTCCCTTTCCTCTAATCTCCACATAGAGGTGTTCCTCAGTCGAGAAGAAGACCTGGGATGGCCAATGAAACATCTTGAGATAAAACTGCAGTGTACAGGACGGCACTGCATTTCTAACAGGATCAACATGTATTTTTGCATTTATTGAACTGATATAAGAAAACAATTCAATGGTATATTTAACATGCAATATGCGAGCAAATAAAAGAGGGCATAGAATGCATGGTACCTTTGGTTTTCCTGTTTGGGCACCTGTTTTGGAAGTAATATATGTTGACATGTTGTTGATGTGGGATATAACAATATCGCTGATATCAGTTGCATATATAT